CCTCACATGCTAACTAGAGAGCATGGTGTGATTGGTCTCACGTCAAAGGCTCCGCTGGGTAGGGAGAGTTCACTGCTCAAGGTGGTTCAGCTCAGAAGTGTCAAGTCCAGGATTGGATGTGAGGTCTTTTACCCACCCTGGGCTTCCTCTGAGACTCCAGGCTGCCTGTCCCTCAGCAGCTGCTTGCCAGCTAATGCTACTCAGGCATTTCCTTTGACAGCTACCAAAGGTGACAGCAGTGACTCTGTGAGCATCACGCTCCACGAAATCCATTCACCTCATATAAATGGGTCCTTGTTCTGTGCAAGCCAACCTGGGCAGAAAATATAGCGTTTGCTTATTTCCCCTGTTCCATTCCACATGCACAGTCCCCATCCCCACCAACACCTTGTTCAATTTTGTTTTCCAGTGGGAACCTAATTAGGGAAGGAGAGCTGGGGGGCTGGGTAGTATGGCAGAGTTAGAGCTTAGTTTCTTGTAAGTCAATTGGCAGACCTGCCATTAGGTATGAGGAGATGGATAGGAACCTCATCACCTGGTGGGCCCCTCCAAATGTCCAGAGGAAGTTGCCACAAAGTGTCTGATTGGGAGTGAGAACCCCACCTCACTTTGCCTTTGTACAAGAAGTCATGTGGCCTTCTTTATTTTTAATTTTATTTTTCAATTACAGTTGACACTCAATATTATTTTATATTAGTTTCAGGTGTACAGCATAGTGGTTACAATCATATACTTTATAAAATGCTCCCCCTGATATTTAAGGTACCCACCTGGCACCATACATAGTTATTATGAGTGGATAAAAAAGCAGTGATACATATACATAATGAAATACTACTCAGCCATACAAAAGAATAGAATCTTACCATTTACAACAGCATGGATGGACCTTGAGGGTATGAAGCTATATGAAGTAAGTCAGACAGATAAAGGCAAATATCATGTGATTTCACTTATATGCAGAACCTGAAGAATAAAATAAATGAATAAACAAAACAGAAACAGACTCGTAGATATAGAGGACAAATTGATAGTTGCCAGAGGGAAGGAGAGCTGGGGGGCTGAATGGAAAAGGTGAAGGGATTAAGAAGTGCAAATTGATAGTTACAAATAGTTACAGGACGTAAAGACCACCATAGGAAATATAGTCAAATGATACACCTCAGCACAAAAAAAAAAAAAAAATCCAATTTAAAAATGGGCAGAGGCCCTGGGCAGTGTGACTCAGTTAGTTGGAGTCTCATCCTGTACACCAAAGGTCACAGGTTCAATTCCCACTCAAAGCACATACCTAGGTTGTGAGTTCAGTCCCTGGTTGAGGTGCATCTGAACGGTAACCAATCAATGATTCTCTTTCAGTTGAAGTTTCTCTCTCTCTTGCCCTTCCTCTCTATAAAAATCAACATATCCTCCAGAGATGGTTAAAAAAAAATAGGCAGAGGACCTGAATAGACACTTCTCCAAAGAAAACATACAGATGGCCAATAGACATGTAAAAAGATGCCCAACATCACTAATCATCAGAGAGATGCAAATTAAAACCACAATGAGAGATCACTGCACAACTGTCAGAATGGCTCTCATCAATAAATCAACAAGCAACAATTGCTGGCGAGGATGTGGAGGAAAGGGAATGCTCGTGTACTTTTGGTAGAGTTGCAAATTGGTGTGTCCACTATGAAAGTATTGTACTATGTAGGTTCCTCAAAATAGTTAAAAATTGAACTGCCTTATGAACTAGCAATTATGCTTCTGGAAACGTATTTGAAGAAATACAAAACACTAATTAGAAAATATATTTGCACCCCTATGTTCATTGCAGTTCTATTTACAATAGTCAATATATGGAAGCAATCTATGTGTTCAATAATGGGCAAGTAAATAATGTGGCTTTCAACAGCTATCAGTCTTGAAAGCACAAAGAATCTGGTAGATCTGTTCCTTTCCCATCCCACTTCAAGCATTGATATTGTGATGTGTTAGATGGAGCTTCTTGCCTTGAAATAGGATCAATATGAAATACTGGAATGCAGTCTTTGAGAGATGATTTGTGGACTTCCAAATGGCATTGGCTGTTTTAGTGAATTGAGTATGTTAGGTATGGATGGCTTATTTAGGTTTTGGTTAATTCAAAGGTGTGCAATCCTGTATTCCAGTTACTGCATTTGGCTGTCCTTTCAGAGTTTATGATAAAGTCTTCATATCATTGGATCAGCCAAGTCTTATACAAAAGAGGATTTGAGTCCATTACAATTTGGGAATGTGTGTTCTGACTCATCTACAAAGCTATAAAATACAGCATTAATTTTTTAATTGACATATTAAAAACACCCCACAGGCAAATAATTTTTATAGATTATGAACAAACCAATAAATAGAAAGTTATTTTTAAGTTTTTTGTACATTCCAAGCTTCTTAGCCTCCTCAGAGAGTAGTAAAATGTAAAACAGAGTTGCTGCCTCTCCAATCTCCCACCACCTATAAAAATCACAAAAGAAATCCAAATTCAAGGTAGTCAAATCAGAAAATATGGATAGGAATTATAAAATACAGGTGGAGTCACACCAACCAAGGGAGAAACTATTTTGATTTATGGCCTTTCAAACCCTTATATGCAAATTATCTTATATAAGTATGAATATATGTATGCATTCTTATACATTATTTAACAAAAAAAGAGATTGTACACATTATTTTATAACACTTTTCACTTTTTATAACTATTATTATAAATGCCTTTTCTTGTCACTAAATATGGATTTACATAATCTCTTGTCACAGTATGTCATTGATTGATGAATTATAGTCTATATAACCCATCTCCTATGATATATTTTGTTTGGTTTTGATCATTTATTATAGTCATCATTTTGAAACAAAATATCTTTGGTTTGGGGCACTTGTCTGATATTTCCATAGACTCAGGTGTTAAGATGTACTTGAGAATCTTACAGTCTGGTTGTAGAAACAAAACACAATGCAAAGAAAACAAGCTCATGCAGGGAAGAGGGTGTCTAAATTAGTTGACAGCCAAGAGTCAACGGCCAGAAAAACCATTTCACACTTAGGTTGCTACATAAGCCTTCATGAAGGAGAGTTGTAAGTGGTAGAAACTTAAACCAGTGTAGGTGTAAAAAGTGTATGACCGGCTCATGAAATTGCAAGTTCACTTTGATTTCAGACTGAGCTGGGTCCAGTGTTCACTTGATGTTACTGAGCGTGTGTGTGTGTGTGTGTGTGTGTGTGTGTGTGTGTTTTCTCCATCTCTTGGTGTGAGCTGCATTCTGAGCCAAGCTCTTTCTCTATGGCAGCTGCCTCCAGCAGGTCCAGTCTCAGGTGGTTTTTATATGCCATAAGGAGAGAAACCCTTTCTCCCAGCTTCTCTGTAATCCCTTGCAGAACTTTTGCTCACCCACCACTGTATAAAGGGAAGTGGGTGTCCTGGTGACTACTTTGGGTCATGTGCCTGTGTCCTTGGTGAGGAAGGTGGACAGGGTGTGACTGAAGGCCCTGGAGCAGTTCTCAAAGGCAAAGATGCTGGATGGTGAAAAAATGAGAGGATACTGGAACTTAACGGATGAGCAACCATGTCCATTAGATGCTTAGGGCTGCAATTAACAGGGAAACTCCAAGTCAAACTGGTCTGTTTGCCAATTTTATGAAACCTGGAGGTGTAGTGGGCTCTAGCAACACATGAGCATGGCTCAGTGATGTCATAAGTTGACTGAGGGTCAGCTTCAGCTCAATTCAGATTTCCCTTAATATGGCTGCCAATGGCCATCACGATACCTATTCTCTTTGTTCATAGCCAGCACTTGAGGATGAAAAACAGCTCCTTGTGTCAAGAACTATAAGGCTTTTCCTGCCATGTGATTGAATCAGCCTAGGTCATGTGCTCACCTCTGAAGCAATAGCACACTGACTCTGGGAACTGCTACACACTGATTGGCCAATCACTGCTCCTGGAGGAAAGGGTGGGGTTACCTCCACATGTATGAATATGATAGATATTTGAATGAAACTGTAGTACCATTAGGATTGGAGGACACACACTGGGTAGTCAACCAACAATGGGCTCCTAATAAGACTTCATTAGTTAGGAAGGAAATATGGAGTTGGATAAGGTAGAGAGGCAATTTATGGCCTGGTCAACGATGTGGAGACAAGATTGCAGAGGCTGTCCTGCAGGAAACAGGAGAGTGCACTAGCTCATTTGGAAGTATTCATTTATTTATCCTTTTATTGCTCATATATTTATGGAGCACCTACTATGCACCACTGTGCTGAGATGAGTGCTGGAATAAATGAGATGGATATAGTTCATAATTCACATGGCCTTCTAGTGGGGAAGACAGCAGACAAATGAACTTCAAAGATAATATGTCAAGAAAAACAAAGCAAGGTAGGGGGATAGAGAGAATGGGAGGGAGAAGAATCCAAGGCTTCTTGCATAGGTTGATCCATAGACTTGAAGGATATGATGAAGTTATCCAAGGTGATCTGGGAGAGTGTATTCCCAGCAGAGGGAACAAAAAATGCAAAGGCTGCCAAAACTGGTTTGGCTCAGTGTATAGAGCATCGGCCTGCAGACTGAAAGGTCCCAGGTTCGATTCCGGTCAAGGGCATGTACCTTTGTTGTGGCACATCCCCAGTGGGGGGTGTGCAAGAGGCAGCTGATCAATGATTCTCTCTCATCGATGTTTCTAACTCTCTATCCTTCTCTCTTCCTCTCTGTAAAAAATCAATAATATATATACATTTTTAAAATGCAAAGGCATCCATGGCATGTTTGGGGAACAAGGAGGTGGACATGGGGGACAGTGGTAGGGAATAATGTCAGAGAGGAAAGGTGAGATCACATGGGACCTCACAGGCATTGCAAAGACATTGTTCTTACCCTGAGTAGGATGTTGAATTCATGATGACAGAGAGTGGCCAGACCCTCAGCCCATGGCTTTGCCTTGACTGAATTTAATCCTTTCTCCTCTCCTCTCTTCTAGGCCATGTACATGTTCTACGCACTGGCCATTGTGTGTGATGACTTCTTCGTCCCTTCCTTGGAAAAGATCTGTGAGGTATGTGCTTGATTCTCAGCATTTCTGAGCTGGGCACTGGTACTGCTCCAGCCTACTTCACGGAGGCCCTGGAACACTATGCAGCCGGTATGGGTGGGAACACCGGATAACAGCATACTTCAGAGTGATGGGCAACATTAGCACAAAAGTGCCATCAATCTGCTTAGAATTCCAGAACACCCATCTATAGTTGGGCTTTGACATACACATGGCCAGCTTTCCCTGTCCATTTGGCTATAACTCATGGTACTTTCTGAGTTCTGCTTCCAGTTTTCTTTCCCTCTTTTAAAATCTGCCCCTTCATTCTCTATCACTCCCTCCTCTCCACCATTCCCTTCTGCTTCGGTAACCCTCCTTTGGTGATTTGTGGAGTCCTTGTCGACTGAGAAATCTCCAGCCACACACATCAATCACCCTTCCTCTGTGTATATGTATAAAAATGCTCCAAGCAGAGGCATGAAAGGGGAGAAGATGAAAGAATTGGCCACAGAGACAAAAACAGGACCCTGCTCAAAATCTGCCCAGTGACACCAGGCTGAATACCAAGTTAAATCCCTTTTATCTGAATCTTCAGCATATCTAGAACCCTTTTATTTTCTTGCCTCCTTCATCTTCTCCTCTGTTTTGAAATGTAGTTTCTTTTATCTGGAAGCTTTCCATTTTATTGTCTTTTTAATTCAGATACCTTTCCAGAAGGGATCTCTCCCAAATGCCCCCCCACCCCAATCTGGAGCTCAAGTTTCTTTATATCATTCTCAAACGTCATTGTCCCTCCCCTTTCTTCCCTCCTTCCTCCCAAGTGTCATATTCAGTAGATCTTGGGGGCCAACAGGTATCCGAAGTTCCATTTCTAATAAGTATCCAAGTGCTGCTGAAGGTGCTGGTCAGGAACCACTAACTTAAGCAGTACCTTCTATATCCTGGAAGTCTGTTAATTTTGTGTGCTTAAAAAAAATAAAAGGATCAAGGCCTGGGAGTGGGTTCCTTATTCTGTGGAAGGAGGATGAGGAAAAAGTGAGGTGGACTGTGGACAGGTGTGGAAGGAAGGCCTTTGTTCAAAGTGAGGTAACCTGAGAACAGGGTCACCTCATGGGAAAGATGAAGAAACTCTGAATCCCTTGTAAGTGGGGTCATTTGTGATCTCTAAAATACCACCATTTGGTGGTTTGTTTTTCATGCAAAGCAAACTATTTCTTTTCCACACAACTTAAAAAAAAAAAAAAAAAAAAAAAAAAAGGTAGCTGCTATAGGATCAAGTCTCAAACTGACCTGTGGCAGAGCCACATACAAGTCCCAGCGTGGAGGGCAGAGCCCTACTAACACAATTAGGCTTGACCCTATAGCCTGTCCGTACATCAGGAGAGATGTTGCCAGGGCCGAAGTGAATTAGGAATGAAAGAGGAGGGGGCATAAGAGGGTATGAAGGAAGAAGCCAACGGAGTGGATGAAGGAGAGAGAGGAACTAGAGATAATCCAAGGTGTGGACTCCAGAATAACCCCCATTGGGGAACCCGAGCTGGAGAAGACCCGGCAATGCAAGGCTCCCAGCTTGTGGCAAGTCTTGACAAACTACCCCAGGAGTGTGAGCTCTACTTTAGGCGACCTTCCCACAAACTGCCTGCTCCCAGTGAGACAGGATGGCAGGGTGTCCTCACAACCACACCTTTCAACTTGAGGTATCAGTACTTCATCTAAGGTCTCCTCAGGACCCCGAGTGAAGTTTAGCTGTTCAGTAGAGAGTGAGGAACCCCAGGATTCCAGATGAAAATGCTCCATTAGGGCTCCTGCAGCAGACTTGCTGGTTGGTGGAGCCAGTAGCCTACGCCAAAGCCATGCTGCCCCTCCATGGCTGAGCAAGGGAGTGCAGCTGCTGATGCCACTGGGAATAGTATCATTCATGACCATCTGGGACACCAGGAGGAACTGGCAATTTACTGATGGCCAGCAGCTCACTTTCTGAGTCATGATTGAAAACAGAAAAGCTAAACTTGCTAAGCAGCCTTGAATGTGTATTTGTCTTGTCTTCTTGCAAATCACCTTTGGATTAACCAACAGGGTGACCTAGAGAGTTTATTGAATAGAATACCTCGGCAGAGTTGATCCCTCATTATTTTCTACTTATCCCTCACTTGCCCTACCCCAGGGTTTCAAGGTTGCATCAAGAATGGGAAGGGGTTTCAGGAGGATGACCTTCCCCACCCCAAAGCCTCCATAACCTCTTAGAATCAAGGCTCAAAAGTTGGTTACCATGAGCCTGATTTAGCCTAAGATCAGCATGGTACTGAAAAAAATCAGGATATTTTGCATTTTTAAAAAATGTGGACTTTGTCATCTCAAAAAATAAGGATACTTGAACAGAAGGGAATTAGACTTCAGGTGGTAGGCACATTATACATAGTAGAGTATATAGATATTGTATTATAAATATAGACACCTGAAACTTATATGATGTTATTATTAACCAATGTCACCCCAGTCAATCTAATTTAAAAATAGAAATATTTTGGAACTCAGAGGGAACCAAGTGGTCTGATGTTAGAAAGGAGGTGAATGCCCTTTGTGCTTCACACTGGCCACTCCACTCCTTCCTATTATCTGCATGGCCATTGGGGCATTGGGATTGGGGACCCTTAGATCTTGTCAAGAGCCTTTAACTCAAGTGGACCCTCCTCCTGATTTTGTCCCCAAAGGGGGACAATGAGAGGAACTGTGGCCCAGCCAGGGCAGTCAGACACAGAGGCTGAGCTCTGGAAGGAGGAGGTGGAAGGACTTCACTTGAGATCTGGGAGTCACAGGGTTCCCAGGGGTAATTGAACTCACCTGTGCTTTGTTCTTGTTCCTCTGTAGCGCCTGCACCTCAGTGAAGATGTGGCTGGCGCCACGTTCATGGCGGCGGGCAGTTCGGCCCCAGAGCTGTTCACATCTGTCATAGGTAGGTGATGACCTGGGGACATCTCAGCCCTGAGCTCTCTAAAGGACCTGGGCTCAGTGGTGGTTGTTCATTATTATCTTACTAGAGGCCCAGTGCACGAATTCATGAACCAGTGGGGTCCCTCTGCCTGGTCTGAGGGATCAGGCGAAAACTGGCTCTCTGACATCCCCCGAGGGATCCTGGATTGTGAGAGGGTGCAGGCCAGGCTGAGAGACCCCAACAGTGCACGATTGGGACCAGGAAGAGATGTGGAGGTTGCTCATCTGGGAGGGGCCATGGGAAGGCTCTAGGGTTTGTCTGGCCTGTCTTGCTCAGTCCTGATTAGCCAGACCCCAACAGCAAACTAACCTACCAATCAGAGTGTCTGCCCCCTGTTGGTCAGTGCATGGTATAGCGACCAGTCAACAGTCTGCCCTCTGGTTATCAGTGCATGTCATAGTGAGCAGTTGAGTGGCCTTAGCATATCATTAACATATAATGCTTTGATTGGTTGAATAGATGATCAGATTACCAGACACTTAGCATATTAGGCTTTTATTATATAGAATTAAAGAAATGCTTTTACTATGCATGGACATGCCCCAGCCCCAATGCCAATGCTCTTGTGGGACAGCATCCTCAGATTAAAGAGCTCCTTTCAATCCTTGACTGCTTCCTGCATACCCTCTGTGATCAGTCTAACACTTAAGAAAATTCCTCTATAAACACCTTGGAATATGACGCCCACAACAGCCAGGCTGATTCTGGCGCTGTGTTTCAGGTGTCTTCATCACCAAGGGCGATGTGGGAGTTGGGACCATCGTGGGCTCGGCAGTGTTCAACATCCTGTGCATCATCGGAGTCTGTGGGCTCTTCGCTGGTCAGGTAGGAGTAATGGCAGAAGGTGGTGTCTGGGAGGGCGGCGTGGAAGTGAGGCAGCAGCCAGTCTGGCAGGAGTAGAATCAGCACAAGGACCAGTGGTCTTGGACAGTGAGGATGTGATGTCGCATGCCCAGGAGGCTAGCTCAGCTAGACCTTGAAATTCTCAGGCACCATCCTTTGGTCTCTGTGTTGATGGAATATAGAGTTCCCAGGTTCATGTAAGTAATTAACCAGTCTGAAGATATGGGCCACGAATCTGAAGGTGCCATGCTCATTTTGATAGTATTGATCTGAATTGGAAAACCTAAAACAATTTTAGGTATAGTATTGCCTCAATGTAAATAGAGTAAAAAGAGAGAAGGAGACAGGAAATGACAGATGTGTGTTTTTCTGCTAAAAACAATTTGCATCCATCACAATTTAGGACCCATCTACAGTAAGAAAGCATTTTATTTACATGTTCGCTTTAGCTGACTTTTGGGGTCACCAGAGGTTTTTGCACACTTGCATTTTATCTATGAAGACTATGCCACTGCCAGGGGGTGTTATGGGGTCTTTGTCCTTTATGAACTCTGGTGTGCATTTTGGAAAGTCTTGGGAAGACACCCCGAAGTCACCAAAGTGTGAAGCTTTCCGGCATCCATGGCATTGCAGGGGCAAATGGGCTTGCAGCCAGCCTGCCAGCACTCATGTCCTAGTTTCCTTGTAGAAACACCCAGGACTCCGAGTATTATCTAGGAAACATGACTTCTAGAAGCCCATCAAGGGTGTCCACTTGCAGTGTTGAGGTACCCGGTGGTCTGAGCCAAGGTCCTGATAGAAGTGGCTGGGTGGTTTGAAGGGCTAAATAAAGTTCCGGGGAGTTTTCTCCCATGTCCTTCCGCGGGCCCCTTGGTCATTCAATCAACCAGCCAGGGCACCCAATGCTGCCCGTGTTTTGAACACAGACTAGAGAATGTCTGAAGCAGGATGCGCTCCGGCACACCACCGCTATTCCCCACTGCTTGCTTTTACCTCCATCATCTCCATACCAATTTATTTTTCTGGGTAGCCTGGTGAGTTTGTTACTTCTGGTGATAGGCAGGACCCCTTGATCTCATCAGGAATCAGCTCCAACACCCACAAGTGAACAGTTACTTCTGAGAGGGACAGCTATGTCCACATGTGGTTATTGAGTTCTTCCCAGTTTACTGGACTGGAAATTTTTTTCTTCATCCTTTGGGTCAATTCTCTCTTTGTCTTAGGTTTTGTAGACCCACAATATGGTATTTTATCGATCTCCTATTAATGTAGTCAGTACCAAAAAGAAAAGTCTCTGTCTTTGCCTTCATTTCCATTTGTACTTCGCTGGTTCTCATCTGAGTTGGAGATGAACAGTCATCCTGCAGAAGAGTCTGTTGCTATTAGCACTCTCTTAATTAGCACTGCCACCATTAGCGGTACGTTTATTAGCCTGGTGGTTCTTAGTGTTATCATTAGTTCATTAGTCTTTTGTACCAGAAACTTGATGCAAAGGCAAGCCCAAAGAGGGAGAAATAAAGTACGTAAGCAAATGAAACAAATGCGGGGACATAGCTAGTAAATGCTATGCAACTAATTACAATACATATGAGGTGGCTTGAATGCATTTGTGTTCCATAATTTATTAGCAATGCAGTAAATCACTTGTCTTGTTAGAACAAGGACTTAAAAGGCCAATTACTTCCTGAGTGTTTAGCAAGTTCTGGTATCAGTCACTTTACCTTCCAGAAGCTCTTTGCCAAGCTCATCTCAGCCATTGTGGAGAGAAGGAACCTCCTGGATGATATTAGAAGGAGCCCATATGATTGTTCTGGGTGCCAGCCCTTCCTCCTGTCTTTCCGTGTACTATGCCTACATAGAGAGTTCCAAAGCTACACAGTGCTCTTCTTCAGGACTTTGTAAGATCCACGAAGTCTTTGCAGAAAGAGCAAAATGATAGTTTGGGAAACAAATTGCTCTGGGTTTGAATGCCGACTCTGCTATTGCTGGCTGTGGAGCCTTGGAGAAGTTGTTTCACCTTTTAAGCCTCGGAGTTTTGTTTTTTGTTTTTTGGGTTTTTTTTCATCTATAGAGTAGGTATAAGTGCACCTACCTCCTAGTATTGCCCTAGGATGAAACGTAACGTGTTCAGCAAACAACACCAGGCCTACACAGTAGATGCGCAACAAAAGTTAGACACCATTATCAGCTCTCAAAAGAAGAGCAATCCCTAGATCTCTTGCCTCAAAATTCCATGCTTGCACCCTAGCCTGTTTGGCTCAGTAGATAGAGTGTCGGCCTGTGGACTGAAGAGTTGCCGGTTCAATTCCAGTCAAGGGCACATGCCTGGGTTGCAGGCTCGATTCCTCATAGGGGATGTGCAGGAGGCAGCCTCAATGATTCTCATCATTGATGTTTCTATCTCTCTCTCTCTCCCTCTCCCTTCCTCTCTGAAATATATATATATATATATTATTTTATTTTAAATCCCATGCTGGGTCACTGCAATAATTTAACCAACCAGTGGAAGGAACTTACAACTAACTTGTGAAACAGCAGCCAGGTATCCCGTGGCAAGGGCAGGAAAGGTCAGGGAGAAGGTCTCTATGTGAAATTCTAAATGAGGAGAGGCTGATTAGAAGAACCATCTCACAGGGCTGGTCCTGGCCTCTGTGCTGTCTGATCAGTGGGAGGAAAAGAAAAATCAGTACGAAATGAACGTGCCTGGCATCCCGAGCCGCCCTCCAGGCCGGTTGAGCCTATGCAGCAAGCGTGTTCCAGCAAAGGATGGTTATTGGCAATTGAACTGATTAATAAATCCAATCATGGGGCTCACTTAGCATTGTTATTTATGTTGCTCCGCACTTTCATTTGGCTGTGAGAATTACCAGCGAGTGCCCATGGGGCTCTCTCTAATGTATTCCTGCGTGAACGGCTGCTCGTGACCAAGTCTGTTACCCATCTGAAATTAAAGTAATTAAGCGGTAAGGTTTGAGTTCCTGTCTCAATTAGGGTTTTGATGAATTCGATGTAATTAAATGTCTGCTGTATTTGCAGTTTGCAAACATACCCAGCGCTTCGGTGTTCGCCTAAGGTGCTTTGGGGAGTTTTACGGGACAAAAAGGAAATTGCTTCTTAGAAAGTGGCTTACAGAGTGATTCTTGGCATGCCCGCAAGACATTTATAGGGCTGTGGTCCTACCAGCTTTTTTTTTTTTTTTTTTTTCATTTAAAAACAAAAAATAACAACAAAGAGGAAACACCAATTTATTTCCACATTGTGAAACAATGCACTTTTGAACTTAAATTCACCATCCAGAGCATGTTAAGCTTTAAAGACATAACCACCGCAAATAGAGAGTAAACAGATTAACTACATTCCAGGTTAGGACTTTCATATCCCAGTGATTACAGGCCGGCAGATGGCCCCAGTTTGTAATAAAGAGCTTCGGCATCAGCTTTCCTGGCATCCTCCAAATTACCTCATGTTCATTGGCGAGGTCCCGCTAATCTTGTCTGGCGTTGCCTTGCTATTCATGCTGGCCTCTTTAAACAAGCCAGAACAGCACCCAGAGGTGGTACATCTGAATTCAAACCTGCCTTCAAAGCTCAACGTCACTCATAGTCAGAGACATGCAAATTAAAACCGTAATGAGATATCACCTCACACCTGCAAGAATGGCTATCATCAATAAGTCAACAAACAGCAAGTGTTGCCGAAGCCGGTTTGGCTCAGTGGTAGAGCGTCGGTCTGTGGACTGAAGGGTCCCAGGTTCGATTCCAGTCAAGGGCATGTACATTGGTTGCAGGCACATCCCTGGTGGGGGGTGTGCAGGAGGCAGCTGGTCGATTGCCCTAGGATGAAACGTAACGTGTTCAGCAAACAACACCAGGCCTACACAGTAGATGCGCAACAAAAGTTAGACACCATTATCAGCTCTCAAAAGAAGAGCAATCCGGTCGATGTTTCTCTCTCATTGACGTTTCTAGCTCTCTATCACTCTCCCTTCCTCTCTGTAAAAAATCAATAAAATATATTTTAAAAAACAAAAAAAAAAACAAGTGCTGGTGAGGAGAGAAGGGAGGACTCCTGCACTGCTGGTGAGAATGCAGACTGGTGCAAGCACTGTGGAACACAGTATGAAGTTTCCTCAAAAAATTAATACAGTGGAACTGCCTTTTAACTCAGTGATCCCACTTCTGGGAATATATCCAGTGAAACCTGAAATAGTACTTGGAGAGAATATATGCACCCCTATGTTCATTGCAGCATTATTTACAATAGCCAAGATCTGGAAACAGCCCAAGTGCCCATCAGTAGGTGAGTAGATAAAAAGCTTTGATTCATTTATAGAATGGCATACTACTCAGTCATTTGAAAGGATATCTTACTTTTCTATTGTCTAAAATTTTACATATGTCTCCTTTTTCCCCCAACTTGACCTCTTCCTCTCCCCACCCCCCACCCACAGCCATTCCCACCCTGGGCAAGCCCCCACTGCCCCAGTGTCTGTGTCTAATGGTTATGCTAATATGCATGCATATAAATCTTTCAGTTGATCTCTAACCGCCCCCTTCCCTGACATTTGTCTCTGGATCTACTCTTGGTCAGAGGTGAGTTCAACCCATTTCATTCACCTGAACCCTTCCTGAATTCTGAATAATCAGCTCCTCACTGTAGCCAGCTGGTGAGAGAAGAACTTGAAACTTCTGGAGGAAAAAAACACATAAGGTTATTCTTCAATTCTCACTCTTGTTTTATACATAATTTCCAGGGTACAATAAACTATGGGACCTGTGAAGACAGAAACAGGACTTATAACCAAGTAAAAAACCAATAGAAGCAAACCACAGGTGATCCAGATACAAGAATCGCAAAAAAGAATTTAAAACATTTATCTTTAATGGGGAAAGAAGGGAAGACTAAGTGAAGGACACTTAATTTCAGTAGAGAAATAGAAAAAATAAGAAACACCAAATAGAAATGGCATATTAAAAAATAAC